CCCGCAGAGGCCCCTCCGCGGGGCCCAGCACCGGGGCCGGGGAGTCACTTGCCTTCCGGCTCTGCGCCGGGACGGTGGGACCGCACTGGGCCTGGCCAGCCATGTGATGAGAAGTTGGCTTTGGGTTTTTTCCGCAGCTGCTCCGTACGCCCTACCCCAGCGCCCGCACCAACAGCTGGTAGCTTACTGTTGCTTCGGGGAGAGCGCGGACTCGAAGGCCGTCCGCGTGACCCGTGGAGCTAGGATTCCCTTGCTGGTGAGACCTGAAACCATGCTGGTTTGTGCCAGAGTCAGAAGGCAGTGACTGCGGCCGGGGGAGCTTCTCCTCTGACCACAAGTGCAGGGGGCAGGTGGGCCTCGGGCCCCGCCCCCCCCCCGGGCTGTTTTTGAAGCCACCGTGCCTCCCGAGGCCCACAATGGGCATGACACAGGGGAGAAGAGCATGGACACGCCTGGCCCTGGGCTTGAATCCGCGGTTTCCCAGCCTGCGGCGTTGTGACCCGTGGCGAGCGACGCCATGTCGAAGGCGCTCTGAGTGCTACCAGCAAAATTTAGGAAATCTGTTAACAGTTCTCCTACCTGCATAATGAGGCTAACTGTACAGTGTGGGGCCCAGAATGAGGGGAAAGAAAGGGCAGCAGCTTCACCTGGGCAGTACACTGGATTGAAGGCAAAGAGGGATGACGTGGTGGGCGATGGTGACTGTGGTGAGGAGGGGGTGAGCGGGGAGTGTTGATTTCCCTGATGTTAAGTGCTGTACTCTGAGTGATGCTCAACCCTCTGCCCCTCCCAGGGAAGGAAATCAAGATTCAAAGTAAGCATGACACTAGTTGGTTTACCAGTGTTCCTTCCAAGGAGACATATATTTTTTAATAAACGATAGTTGCAATGAACTGTGTGTGGCTCAGAGGCCTTCTTCATGGGGTCGAGAAGGGAGGGTGGGGGCACAGTCGTGGGGAAAAGTCTCAAGACTTTGGGGTCCGAAAGGCTCTCTACCCAGCGGCGCCAGAGCGGCTCAGGCGGTGAAGCATCCGACTCGACTTGGGCTCAGGTCGTGATCTCGGGGTCGGGCGATCGGGCCCTGCGTCAGGCCTCACGCTCAGTGCAGAGTGTGCTTGTCCCTCTGCCTCTGCTTCTGGCCCCCTCTCCCCACCTCTCCACTTGCCCTCGCCCGCGTGCTCTCTCTCTCTCAAAAAATCTTCAAAAGACTCTACTTAGTGACCATCTGCTGACTGAGTCTGGTGTTCTTCTGGATGGTTCCAGACCGCTGTGCTTGTACCCGGTCCTTCGTGAAAGCTATATGCTTGGTCTCCCACTACGGCCCCCAAACGCCGCCTCACAGCACCAAGCAGGTGAGAGGCGTGTCCATAGCCTCCGTGGCAGGATGCTGACATTCCCGCAAAGGTGCACAAGCTGGGGGACGCCTGCGGCCGCAAGGACATCTCTTACGGGGAGGAAGCAGGGGCCCAGCTCGCAGCGGGGGGCTGAGTGATGAATGCGGCGCCGAGGAGCTGGCCTGCTGGCTCCCCGTGTTTCCAGAAACCACTGAGAGCTCAGGGGGAAATGGGGGAGCCGGGACCAGGCTAGGCCCCAGGTGGCAGGGCAGGTGGTCGGCCCCCCGAAGAGAGGAGCGCCGAGAGCAGGCGCGTGACCTGGCTGATGGCCGCGCAGCTTCTGTGAACCAGCCTGCGGGGCCACGGCCGTGACCGCGGTCAAGAGCGATGGCTGCTCAGAAGCCCTGGCCGCTGTGGGCTGAGCCACGGGACGGAGGCTCCTCCCGACCTGTTCGCGGCGCTTGACTCCTTTGCCCCGTTCTCTCATTTGCTGGAAGGCAGCCCGCCAGAAGGGAGTGCCCAGAACGCTCCTGGAGGGCTTAAGGGCATCCGGCTCCCAAGGGCAAAGGGAGCAAAGAGCCGGCCCTGTCCCCCCACCGCGGTGAGGCGCCGGCTGTCTTGGCAGCTGCCCTTCCTCGCAGGGGAGGCTCAGCTGGAGAAAATCCGGCCCCCAGGGGAAGCCACTGAGCAACTCAAACACCCACGGTAGACCCCCCCCCCGCCCCGCAAGCTCTGCTGTGACCAGCTGGCCAGAGCTCCATCTCCCCGGTTCCGCTGCCGCTGACAGCCCGGCGAGCCCCGTCGCGCTTCCTTCAGCTCCGAGCGGCCTTGCGTGCAAACCTTCCCCGGGTGATACGATGACAAGAAAGTTGTGTCCGGCTACAGACCACCGACCTCCCGGTGAGGCGAAAGTGCGGCTAGAAATTACCTAATGAAGGCAAAAGCTTTGTGCAAACGTCGCGCTCCGGGACGAGGCTGACGGACCAGGATGCAGAGGAGAGGGGGCGGCCGAGCGGCAGGCCAGGGGGGACCAAGGCGCAAGCAAGTAAAGGCCGGGCCTGAAGGGACGCCAGGCTCGAGCTGAAAGGCCACGGGGCCCTTCCCACAGGGACGGCGCTTGCCTGGCGCCAAGCCCTGGAAGCCCCGGGTGTCAGGAAGCCTTGCAGAAACGCAAACCGTGAGGGTCGGAGCTGGGGAGAAGCGCGCCAAGCCGTCTGGGCCCCGGCAGGGTCCCTTCGCTGTCCGCAGGGTGTCCGCATTTCCAGGCTCGGCCCTTCACGCCTGTCCCCGCCCAGCAGTCCGTGGCCTCGGTTCCATCCGTCCTTGTATCCGCCCAGTCAGTGCCCTGGCACCTCTAGGACCTTCTGTCACCGCACACGGAACTTCTCGAAGGGCAAACCCCACACGTGGAAAAGCCCCCCCACACACACTTGCACGGAAGCGCCGCACCGGCTCCCCAGCGCCCGGGGGTCCCCCGCAGCGAGGCCCCGGCCGCGTCTTCCTCCGCAGAGCCGAGCCCGCGGTGGCCGTGTGATCCGCACTGGCGGCTTGCGCGACAGAGCAAACGGACCGCCTGCGGGGCCTGCCCCCGCCCTGCCGCCCGCACGCCAAGCGCGAGCGTCCCGGTACCTCCAAGGACCGGGGGTGGGGGGCTCGAGAACAAGGGTTCACACCCGCCTGCAGGGCGCCTGCCGGACCGTGTTGTCCTCGCTGGCCTTGCCGAGCCCACAGCCGTCCTCCACGTAGCCCGCAGAACCGGCCTCCCATGGGGCCCTGCTACCGGCGGGGAAAAGTTCAAGCCCCGTAGCGTGGCCCTTGTGCCACCAGGCCTTGGGCCGTCTCCGCTGCCTCGCCTCTTGCCGCGTCCGGCCGCCCCAGCCTGGACCACCACAGCCCCGTGGTTTTGCTCACGCCTCTTTTCCTGCCCATTGCTGCCTCGCCATCTTGCTTACCCGCAAGACTCCTTTTAGTATTTTTAAGACTCGCTTCAAGAGCTTCCCCCCTCCCCGGGGCGCCCGGGTGGCTCCATCGGGTGAGCGTCTGCCTTCGGCTCAGGTCGTGATCCCGGGCTCCTGGGATCGAGCCCCGCATCGGGCTCCCGCTCGGCGGGAAGCCTGCTCCTCCCTTATGTGCCCCTTCTCTCGCTCCCGCCTCTTAGGTCGCCTGGATTGTCCCTTCCTTAGTGCCAGGAGACCCTGTACCAGACCTTTCGGCGTCACAACAGCTGACCTTCCTTTTGTACTTCCTGAGTGACAGGCACTGTGCTAAGGGCTTTACCCATTTTCCTTCACCTAGTGCCCCAAACCGCCCTGTGACAGGGGTGCTCGTGTCCTCTCCTTTCCCAGAAGAGGAAACGGAGGCCCAGACAGGCCACACAGCTTACTCCTAAGGGGCAGAGCCGAGTCAAACACGGGCTGTGGGGCCGCAGTAGTTGGGCCCCGAGGTGCTACGCTTGCCCCCTCGCACTCTGCCACACTTGGAATGGTTTATGGCCCTTATCTCTTTTTGTCTGCCTTTAAAAAAAAAAAAAAAGATTTTATTTATTTATTTGACAGAGAGAGATACAGTGAGAGAGGGAACACAAGCAGG